GGGAAGTGGTTGAGTCTCCATCCCTGGAAGTATTTAAAGAACGGATAGATGTGGTGCTCGAGGACATGGTATAGATGGACTTGGCAGTGATAGTTAACGGTTGGACTCGATGATCTTAAGGGTCTTTTCCAACCTTGACGATTCTATGATTCTATGACGAGGAAGAGGGCTGGATCGGGGCATGAAATGTGTCACCCACCCTGGGTTTGGCATCCAGGTCAGACAGAGCCTGTTGGGGTAGCGCTGGGGGCTGTCAGGAAGCAGCACCCCAATCTGGGCCGGTCTTGTCCACCTTTTGGAAACCATCCCCAAAGGGACTGAATTAACCAGCTCACTTCAGTCCGAGCGCTGCTGAGCAGCTGCTCTACCCAGGCTGGCAGGGCCCTGCTTTGGTGCACTTGCTGCCCGTGCTGCTGGCTGTTGTGGGTTTTAGCTGAGCACACATGTCCCAGGCTCTGCCCCACCACCGCACGACTCCTTTCTACACGTTCTTGGTCCCTTCCAAAGCTGTAGGGAGGCACAAGCTCCAGCCAGGTCACCCTGGTCCCACTGTCCCAAGCCACCTGCCACATCGCCAGTGGTCAGAGCTGGCTTCAGCAGGCTCAGAAATGACTGAATGAGAATTAAAAAGTTGTGCTTTCACCTTCTGGCTCCAAGAAAGCTCCTTCAGCTCTCTTCGCATCTCCAGATTTGCCCAAATTTCACAGCTTTCCACCAAGCACTTTGGGTCAAACTTCTGCTCAACCTTTTCCACCCCATCCCTGGAAGCTGCAATTCCCACTTGTCTGAGGACCATGAGACCTGGGACAAAATCCCTAGGTCTGACAGCACCCCGACACAGGTAGCAGAGTGCTTGCTGCCCAAGAGTAGGGATGGCAAGCGGCAACTTTCCAAATACCCTGGAGCCTTGGGAGCATCAGAGCTGGCCAAATGTCCCTCTTCCTTTGACCCTAATCTTCATGTGGCTTTAGTGCATGGGTGCTGCCTAATAAATGTTTCGGTGGGAAGCCGAGGGCTAATTGGAGCCGTCGCTAATTGCACGTGTTGCTTTTTGACTCACTTCCAGTTGGTGCCTCGGGGTCGCCAAGGCTGGAGACCTCCACAGTCCGGACGTACTCCTGCTGAGGGTCAGCGTGACGGGAACCAGCCCGGCCCTGGGTAAGTGCGAGGAGGACCAAGGCCTCGGAGCTGGATGGGGACCAAGAGGAGAGCACGAGGCCCAGCGTCCTCTGCCCGGCATCACCCAGGCAGGGTGTCTGCCTTCACCAAGATTTGCCTTGCCCTGGAGGATCATGGAGACCTCAGCGGGGGGGGGACAGCCCCCTGCTGCCCGAGGCTGACAGGACCCTGAGGTGATGCAGAAGGGATGCTCAGCATCCCAGCCACGTACGGTTTGTCCAGTCCTTGGACAGACAGCTCCACTGGGGACCCCAGGATGCCATCCTACATGAGGGGGTCCCACTGGGGTGAGGGAAGGATAGTCAAGCACTTTAGAGAGTCTCCTGGGACCCTGCTGTACGCTGGGGCATGGCTCCCCTCTGCCAGAAGGATTCATTACCAACTCCGTCTGGGTTTGTTGGCCTGTAGATGCATGGGCAGAGCTGAGCCACCATCCTCACGGGGCCTTTCCCACTTCATTTCTCAGCACATCCCCACTATCCGTATGGCCACGTGCTGGCTGCCTTTCAGGACAAGAGCCCAGCCTGCGCCTGTTCCTTGGCCCAAACCAACAGACGCTGCAGTCTCACTGCTGTGGACCGAAAAGGATGCTCTCCCTTCTGCTTGTGCCCCCCACCGCTTCCCCTGGCTCCCCGTGGCTCCCTCCTGTGGTTTGTCTCCCACCTCTCCCCGCACTGGCCAGGCCATGGATGCGCTCACTGGGTGCCCACTCCGTCGCTGGCAGAAGCGTGGTGCAACCCAGCAGAGTGGCAGAGACACCCCAAAAGTGGGCCGCGATATTTGGAAACCTTTCTCCTGCCTGGTTCACGTTGCCAATACGCCATGGGCTGCTGCACTGACTCACCCAAGCCCCGGGCATCAGGGACACTGCTGCCTGCAGCACTCGAAGCCAAGGAAGATTCAGGCTCATGAAAATCCTCACACCAGGGCGGCCGGGCAAGGAGCTGCCCTCAGGAAGGGGCCAAGGGGCCGGAGCCAGTCCCGGGGTCGGCGCTGCACGGGACGGAGCAGGGACTGGCCATCGTGGGGTCAAGGAGAGCGGCCGTCTGCCAAGGGGTGGGCAGCTGGGGTGCTGCATTTTGGGGTGCTGCCAGATGCCACGCAGGGAGGAGGCCGCGCCTGCACGGCGGGTCCACGAAGGGCTGCGCGGGGAAGGGCTGGAACCGCCCCATACGGCTCGCTGCCGGCCGGGACGGTACCCGGCACCCACGGGAGAGGGGACCCTCCTTGGGTGCCTGGGGAGACATGGCGGGGGCACCCACCGCCCCAGGACGTGCGCATCCCTTCTGCTCTGGGTGCAGAGGAGATGCTCTCCCCTCCTGCCTCCAGGCTACGGGCAGGGATCCATCCAGGAGGCTCTTAACTCTTCCCATTTCTCCCCCGTAGGGTAGGATCTCTTCGTCTCCTCATGCCACGTTTGCCTTGTGTGGCCCCTATTTCTGATGTGATATTTATTGATGGCTGGAATGACCTTATACTTATCATGTGCTGTCTGGAAGTGCAATATCTGAGAGGCTATACCGTCACGATGTCTTTTTGGTGTATTATTTGCCTAATACAGTATTAAATATTTTTTTAATTTGAAGAGTCGGTGAGCCCTTTATATCGATGCCCTATTTCTTTCATCATATTATTGGTACTGCATGGACTCCAAACCCTGGATCGGGTCAGGAAAGGATGTATGTGTGTTCCAATAAACAGGATTTTAAAACAGTGCTGGCTTGAGCCTTCTTTCTAGAGCCCAAATTAAAAATGATTAATCTTTAACTCCCCTGCGAGTTTTTGGGGTACAGGGCTGAACCCCAGTTGCAAACCAGTGAAATCACTGGTCTCTGCAGAGCTAATTTAAGCGTGGGACATCCCGGTCCCACCACTGAGCGACTGCGCTGAGGTCCAGCTGAATTTTCTGATATGGAGAAATCCCCAACGTGGGAATTCGGGGAGACCTGCGCAGAGGAAGACAGCAGTAAAGGAAGCCCCGAGCCATTCAAACAAGAATGCCTTTATTTAAAAAAAAAAAAATCCAAATAAGTTAGCAAAAATAGTAATTAAAAAAAAATCAAATAGCAACTCCACACAGCGTTCAGTAGAAAAGACGGCGTGGGCAGCCTCCGCGGGGCTCAGCACCGGCAGGACGCCAGCCGGAGAGAGACGTTGGTCGAAGAGCATCTTGGAAAAAAAATCAGCAAGCGACCCCAGCACACGCATTGGCCCCCAAAAACCGATTTCCCCTGGACGGGGAGCGAAGCAGAGCTCGACGCCGGGCGGCCGCCCTCGCAGGAACCGGGGCCACCGCCAGCGCAGGGCCGCGGCGCTGCCGAAATCCCACCTCTCCCCCTTTTTTTATTTTCAGCTGGCCGAGCAGGAGCGTTTCACGTGGAGTGGGAAAGGAGGCGAGTGGTTTCAGCGGCGCAGTCCATGACGCCGGAGGGGTAAATACGATTTCCAGCGGCTGGACCCTTCCAGCATCTTATTCCCACCCCGTTACCAGCTTGAAGAGCCGCCAGGGTTTGCGCCGGCTCAGTTTTGAACCCGCTCCTCCTGGAATGTCATAGCCACGTCCTCCACGGCGATGCTCTCCACGATGGAGGAGAGCGAGTGGAGGTTGCGGTCCTCCGCCGCATCGTCGGCCAGGAGGTGATCTGCAGAGAGCAAGCGGATGGTGACTGCTGGGGACGGGGACCCTGTGCTGGGGACAGCTCCTGGCTCCGCTCGGGGGGACCCCCTGATCCCCCACACGGCCAGAGTGACCTGGGGACCCCCTCCCAGCTCCCCCTCCCCGGGGGGGATGAGACCTTCCCCTGGGGAGGGCAACGGGGAGTGAAACTTTTGGACACTTTTTAGGTTTTATTCCTCACTGAAAAACGAGATTTAAGTTTCTGCCTTCTGGGGAAAAAAACAGGTGGATTTGGCGGCGGGGGGGGGTGGATAACAGCAATAATGGAAAAAAAAATCAGCAGCTGCAGAGGGGGTGTGGGGAGGGAAAGGGAGCCCAGGCAGCGATGCTCAGCGATGCTCAGCACCGCAGCGGGCAAAGCCAAGCCAAGGGATGGCGACGGATGAACCCTTGATGGGGAGCAAGCCACCGGGGCTCCGGGCTGCTGCAGTCCGGTTACTCAGCTCCTAAGAGCAGGTGTCTTGGTGAAATCGGGTGGTGGGAGAAGCCCGAACTCGCTGAGCATCGAGCCAAGGAGGTGCCGGAGGATTTATGAGCCTGGGGGGAGCTCATCTCCCTGCGCCAGCAGGGTGGGGAGGGAAGGACAAGGTTCCTTTTGTCCTCTGCTCTGAGCATCTCCTGCTTGGGGGGGTTGGCTCAGCAATGCTCTGCTCCGGGGCTGCCGTGTCCCCCACTGCTGCCCCACGCCCCGGAGCCCAGCGAGGCTGCAGGACGCCGGGGTGAGGCGGGGAGGACCTTACCCGCAGGGCTGGTGCCGAACTCCAGCTGGCTGCTCCACTCGGGGCTGCAGGACGAGCTGCCGGACCCGCACTCGCTGGCCACCTGCAAGGAGCCGAGATGCCGACCATGGGTCTCACCTCCTCCAGCCCGGCCAAACCCCGCCAGCCACCTCAAAAACACCCCGGGGTGCCCAGTCACCGCAGCACGACACCCCTGCGGAGATGGGCACGTCCCTCCCCGCTGCAAGGCGGCTGGAGGAGCCGACAGCATTCGGGGTCCCCAGGACCCATTGGGGCCAGATGCTTCGTTAACCATAAAGGCTAAAAAAACCTCCTTTTTGGGCTCCGGACACAGGAGAAAGCAGGGGTTTCCGCTCACTGCAGGTCAAAAAAGTGTCTCTTTACCCGGTGACTATGCGAAAGGGCTAGAGACGGATGAACGGCCTTGGGCAAAACAGCTTTTTACCGAAAATCACCTAATCAGGCTCGTAAAAAACGACACACACGGGCTGGACACCCCCAGGCCACACCAAGGGGATTTCGGGGGAAGATCTTCCAGCAGTTTGATTTGTGGATTTGGGGTTGAACGGCTATTTCGGAGAAAAGAGCTGACAGCCTGAAAAATGAGAGCGTTGCTCAGCAAAGCTCTGAATTCACTTTTTTTGGTGTGTGTCTTTATCTGGAAGTGGATGCCAGCCAGGGTTAGACCCAAAATATGATTTATAGGAGCAGCCCCAAGGACCCAGCTATTTGTAGCAGCCTAGAAACGGCACTTTGGGTCTATGAGCTCATGGCAGCACAGGCTAATTAATTAACACTTGGATTTATTTCCCACTGAAGTAGGAAATTCTTACAGATATAATTTTTTTTTCCCCAAAATATTGGATTTCGCCGTCAATATGCGAGCCCCTGGCCGTGCCTGGGAGAAGGGCCGGCTCGGGGCAGCAGTGGCGCAGGAACCACTCGGCACGGGTCGCGTTTTGGGCACATTTGCAGGGGCAGCCAACAAATCCAACTGGATCAAACCCAAGTGGATACACTGGGTTTACACCGGGAAGTCCCAAGAATATATATAGGATGGAGCCTAAAAGCTTTGTCAGTCCTTTATTCAGCTCTAAATGCTGGGCTACCTGGGTACCTGCTGTTTCGGTCCTTAAATCCCTTAGTCTGAAAGGAGATGAATCTCTGTGAATCCCTCTTTTCTGTGCCTTTTATAAAGTCCTTCTATATCTATATCTATATCTATATCTATATCTATATCTATATCTATATCTATATCTATATCTATATCTATATCTATATCTATATCTATATCTATATCTATATCTATATCTATATCTATATCTATATCTATATCTATATCTATATCAATCTATCTCTATATAGCTATATCCATATCCATATTCATATCCATGTCTATATCATCTATATGTACTTCTACATCTACATCTACATCTATATCTACATCTACGTCTATCTGTATAATCTATATATCTATCTCTATAGCTATAGCTATATCCATATCCATATTCATATCCATATCTATATCA